AGCTGCGTGCGGCCGCGCCCTACAAGTACTGCGCCACAGCGCCGTCCCAACCTTCTCTCGCCTCGCACCACCACACATCTCAGCCTCACACTCCACTTTTGTCTTTCCTGCTGAAGAAAGCAAGGGACACCTAACCTCGGCGCATCCTCTCTCGTCTGCCACCGCCATCATCGCACTGCGCCGCTGCAAAGTCTCATCTGCGCCGCGCCCGCCGCGTGGGGGCACTCCAGACTGCAATCATGTCCGCCTCCGCCGCCGCCGTCGACTGGACCTCACAGCGCCATTCAAGTGCAGCGCAGCCCCTCGTCTCCACACCCGCCTCGGCTCCCAGGCCCATCATCTCTCCCGCGCAGCTGCGCCTCATCCACGCCGCAAACGGCCGCGTCGAGCTGCGCGAGTGCGACCTGCGCGTCGCTGACTTCCTCGGCGCGACGTGCGCCAGCCAGGAGACACACGTCCTCTCCCCGCAGATGGCGTGCCTGCCGATAATACACCCGTGGCTCTGCGCCATGGGAGAGCTGGCCGAGGACGCTCGAGGCACGCTCGAGCAGCCGCGCTTGGATGCGCTGCGCAACGTGGTGTGCCTCGACCTACAGCTCCATGCGGTCATAAAGGAACTGCAAGCCGCACGCTTCTTGCTGCTCCCAAAGCTGGCGCATGACATCTACGCGTACGAGGCGCACCTGGAGCAGCTCGCCAGCAGCACGTCGTCAACGTGGTCTCTCTCCTCTCGCGACGTCCTCGACATCTTTCTCGACGACGACGACGCGACAACTAGTCTCTCCACGTCCCACTTGCGCTCGTTTCAACCCATCGTCCTGCCCAAGCCGGGCGTCACCAGCGGCAGGCATCTCTACGTCGGCGTGCGCCGAGTCGTGGCCAACTTGACGCGCACCTGCCACGAAGCTGGCGATGCAGTCTACAACTGCGACTCGGGCACGGCCGAGTATCCGGCACGCTACGAGCTGCAGCCGCGGTGGTCGCCGCTGCCGTCGCCGGCGGAGGAGAAGGAGGAGGCGGCGACGACGGCGGCGGCGGCGGCGGCGGCGGCGGCGGCGGCGGCGGCGGCGGTGGCTGCGGAGCCGTCTGCGTTGCCCTGCCTGCAGCTGCCGCTCTCGCCCGTGCTTTCTGCGCTCTGGGCCAACGTGCAGCTGCGGCGGCGCCTCGACACCTTCGAGCAGTGGTGCGCGTCGCTGCAGGCCTGGTTCGAAGAGAGCGAGTACTTCCTGCAGCTCGTGGAGACCATCGATCTCACCAGCTGGCGAGCACTGCCGCGCCCGAAGAGCTTGGGCAAGGCGCGCCCGCAAGCAGGACTGGGGCCGAGGAACGAGACGAAACGCACCTATGCGCCCATCGGCCCTCTACCGCCCACGGCTACGGCCACAGCAGAGGCAACGGCGGCGGCGGCGGCGGCGGCGGCGGCGTCTGGCTCGCAGCACGTCGCGGACGAGTTGCACCACTTGCGACTGGCCAAGCTCGAGTTGTCGAACAACAACGACGACGACTGCGTCGGCAGCCACGGGGCGACTCTCGCCTCGCAGTCGAGCACGAGTCCGCCAAGCGAGGCGCAGCTGGTGTACCCGTGCGGCTTCAATGACGCCGAGCGGGCCTCGTGGGCCTCACTGGCAGCCGCCCTGCCGCACTGCGACTGGACGACGAGGCGGCAGCTGCCGGTGGAAGGCTTCGTGGCGCTGCTGCTCGCGCACAAGGAGCGTGCGGAGGAGGAGGCAGCAGAGAGGCACGCGATTGCGTTCCAGAGGTATCTGGAGGCGCTGTTCGACGGGAGCTGGTACGAGGAACAGGAGAAAGCTGCTGCTGCTGCGGCGGCGGCGGCGGACTAGCGAGGGTGGAGCAAAGACGCTGGTCCTCCTCACACTCTCCCTTTCGCCCTCTCTCACGTTCGCTCTCTCTCGCCTTCTCTCCATCTCTCTCTCTTTCTCTCTCGGCCACCTACTCATCTGCATCCAGTCCAAGCGCCGCGTTTCCCCGCACACACTACCCGCTCGTCCACACACGCACATACCCTGTATCCGCATCCGCCGCCAATCCCAGACGCTTGTCCTGTGCGCCTTGCGTGTGCGACTTGCCCCTCAGTGGCGCCGCGTGTGTGGTGGTGAGAGGAGAGGATCGAGGGCGTGCGAGCTGCAGGTGGAGGCGGGCGCAGCAAGCCACACCTCCTCCTCGCCGCACGTGCGAAGAGAAGGCAAGCACCCGAGAAACGCCGTGCTGTGCTGCTGGCGCTTGCATGACGCGCGCGCGTGTCGGGCTCTTTCATGCGCCCGCGCGCCCCGTTGCTTCCCAACCCTCACCCTCACTTGTCCATACTCGCGCTCCCTGCTCGCTCTTCCGCTCTCTACGCGCGCGTGGCAGCTTCATGTGCCCGGCGCACCTTCAATGAGCGCACAGCTCGCCTTGCCGCGTCTCCGGCGGCCTCACCTTCGCTGTCTCTCCCATGCCGCTTCGAGCGCCTCCACTTGCACCCTGCTCCACTCCGCCGCCTCAACATGCGTGCTTCGACGCCGTCGACGCACAGGCGCCACTGCACAGCGCGAGATGCATGTCTCCACGGCTGCTGCTGCGCCACACGAGCCGCACTCGGCTGCGGCAGCGAAAGAGGAGGCAGCCCGCTCGATGCCGGGCAGCAACGAGGCGGCGGCGGCGGCAAGAGCGGGCGATGCGCGACAAGAGCGAGATGCAGCAGGGGCAGATCCACCGAGCGCCTCTTCAAGCAGCAGCGTCTCCCCCTCTTCCTCGTCCGGCTCCACTCCTGCTCCTTCCTCCGGCGCCTCCAAGCCGTCAACCATCTCCCGCCTCATGTCTTCGCCCGTCATTTTCTCGCCGGTCCGCGCACCCAGACATCCCATCGTGCTCTGCCATGGCCTGTATGGCTTTGACGTCCGCGGCCCGTTCCTCGGCCTCGAGATTCACTATTGGGCCGCAGTGCTGGATCTGCTGAGGAAGCGCATTGGCGCAGACGTCGTCGTCAGGGGAGTGCCGGGGTGAGTAGGCAGAGGAGCGGAGACAGGGAGCGCAGAGACGAAGCTCAGGCGGGCGTTGGCAATGTAGCGAGCGTCTTGGTGGACCGGCGAGCTGGGCCTGAGGGGGGCTGGCGCCGCATCGCGGAATGGGCAGCGATGGGCAGTGCCTCTGCTTGGCGGCACAAAGCAGCGGCGATGGCTCTAAGAGTGCTTTGCGCACCATCTGCCCTTTCTGTTGCTCATGCTTCCCTGCCCGTGTCTTGATCAGCACCGGCTCCATCTCCGAGCGAGCAGCAGCCCTGCATTCCTTCCTCTCCTCTCCCGATGCCGGCGTGCTCGGCAAGCAGCTCAACTTCATCGGCCACTCCATGGGCGGTCTCGACGCACGGCATCTCATCACCAACATCCGCCCGACGGAGTACCATCCCGTCTCGATGACTTCCATCTCCACGCCTCATCGCGGCTCGCCCTTCATGGACTGGTGCAACGCCAATGTGGGCGTGGGCAACGAGATCATCGAGGAGGCCGTCAGAGAGGCCAAAGGCAAAAAGGCCGTGCCGGAGGAGGTGGAGAAGGAACTCGTCAAGGTGCCGTACACACTCAAAAGCCCCCTGTTCGTCAAGCCGAAGAAGGAGGCTGCGGCTGCAACAGCGGCGGCGGCTACAGGCTCGTCACAGACACCGCAGAAGGAGCAGGCCAAGGACGCGACGACGCAGAACGTCAGCGCTGCCGAGGCCAAGGAAGTCAGCGAGCGCGTCACGCAGAAGCTCGAGGACGGCTTTGCCGCCGCAAAGAGCAGCGCCATTGGCTCCGGGCTCGCCGACGTGGCCGCATCTGCCGCGTCTGCCCTCACCGGCGGCGATGATTTTTCCTCCTCTTCCTCCTCGAAGAAAAAGTCGAAGAGTGCCGCCTTTGGCATTTCGGCCTTTTCCTTCACGGGCGCCCTCTCCATGCTGGGCGGCAACTTTTCAAAGTACATGCTCTCCGTGCTCGATCAGCCGGCGTACGCCATGCTCTCTACCAAGTACATGGCTGCCGTCTTCAACCCCTCGACGCCGGACGTCGAGGGCGTCAAGTACTACTCCGTCGCTGCTCGCACGCGCAGACTGGCAGTCTGGCATCCTCTGTGGCTGCCCAAGCTCATCCTCGACGCGGCCGCCGAGAGCCGCAGTGCGGGCGGCGAGGCGGACGGCTCGGGCGATGCGCTGGGCGGCGAACTGCAGGGCAACGACGGCCTCGTCAGCGTGCAGTCGGCAAAGTGGGGCACGTTTCTCGGCGTCGTCGAGGGCTGCGATCATTGGGACCTGCGAGGCGGCGGCGCGCCGCGCTGGGGCAGCGCAAAGCTGAATCCGGCGACGGGCAAGCCCTGGCCGACACGAGAGAAGGGCGGAGAGAGCGCGACGAAGGAGAAGGAGAAGGGCGACAAGGGCAAGGGAGGCTGGATCGACATCAATCGTTTGCTCGACGTCTTTACGAAGAAGAAGAAGCCTGCCGCTGGCAAAGGCTCCGACGCTGCCACATCGACGTCCTCCTCCGCATCACGCCCGAGCAATGCCTCATCCACCCCGGCCTCTGCGAGCACCAAGGGCTCGCAGAAGCAAGAAGCAGCACCGGCGGCGCAACGCGAGATGCTCGAGGAGGCATCGCGCAATCCTCTGGATGCGGCGCTCGAAGCCACAAAGGCATCCGCCACTTCCTTCCTCAAGGCGTATGCTGCCGAAGCTGCGCCTGAAGGGTCCGTCTCTGCCGCGGGTCCCTCTTCATCATCTCGCAGCGCCTCTTCTACGAGTCCTGCCTCCTCATCATCCTCCCCCTCCTCGTCCTCCTCCTCCTCTACAGCGACGGCGGCCACGGCCACCACCTCGCCGCGCAAGCCGGAAGAAGAGTCGGGCTTCATCTCGGAGGTCGTCGAGTGGATCTCCGATCGGCTGCCAGAGCGAGACGATGCGCGTCGTGCTCAGGCAGAACGAGCAGCCGATGCGCTCGACGATGCGACTGCGAAGCGTGCTGCGTCTGAGGCGGAGAAGGCGCAGCAGCAGCAGCAGCAGCAGCAGCAGCAGCAGCAGCAGCAGCAGCAGCAGCAGCAAGGCGATGCAAAGCGAGAGGAAGGTGCAGTGAGCAGAATGACATTGGGCAGCGAAGCCACGTGGCAGGAAGTACGTGCTGCTTCGAGCGAGGACACTAGCATCAAGGAAGAAGCACACGCTGCTGCTGCCTCATCCTGCGTTGCCTCGCCTGACTCCGACTGCGGATCCGCTGCAACGTCGTCGGAGAGTGAGGAGGTGCCCATGTCCGAGGACGAAGAGTCTACTCTGCCGCGCCTCAGACGTGATCCGGCATGGGATCGAGATCTCTCCTCCTCATCCTCCTCTGCATCGCGCAGCAGTGCCTCTTCCAGCTCCTCAGTCTCAGCCAGTGCGTCGCAGTCCGGCGCCTCGCAGGCTGCTGCTTCTGCCTCGACCACTTCGTCAAGCACCTCGACGAGCGCAGAGTCTCGCGCCCAAGAACAAACTCTGCGTCGCGAAATGGAGTGGCGTCGTTCGGAACGCGCGCGCAGCTATGCCTCTCAATACCCCCTCACGGGCGGCGCCGTCGACGTTCTGACCTCCGCCTTCTCTCCGTTTTCCTCTTCCTCTTCCTCCTCAAACGACGCCTCCGCTGCGCCGCATGGCGCCTCGAGGCGTCGGCGCAGCGACGAGGCGAGGCCAGCAGAGACAGACGACGAGTGGGAGCGCAGAGAGGCGGATGAACTGGAACGCTTCTGGTGTGCGCTGTGTCATCATCTGTGGAAGGAGGGCCTATAGACAGAGACCGAGCATCCTTTCGTCACTCTTGCAATTAGATTAGAGCACGGCTTCGTGCTTGAGGAGGGCTTGCAAAAGGCGCGCGCGCGGGTGGAGTGAGGTGCGAGGAGAGACATAGCCTCGTGACCTTGACGTCACGCAGCGAGGTTGCGCATGGCGCACCACGCACGGAGCCCCTCTTGCACGGCGAGCCTGAGCTTCGCATGCTCGCCTTCAAGCGGCACGGGCTTGCGTTTCAATGCCACATCGCCCCCTCCCCTCCCTGACGCTTGTCCAGGCTGGGCGGGCTCTGTCGGTCGCACGTCCGTCATCAAGACTCTCAGTCAGCGTTCCGGCTGAGCTCCAAGCACCTCCCTCCTTCTCCTCGCGGCGTCTCTTCAAACTCCTGCCAGTACGCCGAAGCAACAAAAGCATGGGATGACATTGGGTGACGTTGTTTGTGGCCCGCGCTTCCAGGCAGTCCTCTCCCCTCCTCGCACTCTCCTCCTCTTGTGCTCCCCCCGCTCTCTGTCCCTCTTCAAGAGAGGTTGCCCGAATGCAGCTGGGCGGCGTGTCGCCGAGCAGTCGGTCAGCAAGAGTAAATGGCCAGACGAGTGCGGTGCATGACCACTCAAGAGCCCGCAGGCGAGAAGAAGACTCACATTGAAGCTCTCAATCTGCTCCGCGTCATCCAGATCCAGCAGGTGTCTCGGGCCCTGTTGCATTTGCTTCTCCTCCTCTTGCGGCTGCTGCTCTTCCTCATCATCTCCCAGCAGATCCACCAGCGCTCCCTTCTCCTTGCCTTGCTTGCCCGTCGCCGCCAGGCGCGGCGCGCTCTGCCTGCTCTCGCTCGCCGCCGACTGCTGTTCCGCGCCAAACTCGACGAGCAGGCCCTCGAGCGTGCGTCCCGAGTCCGAGCTCGCGCCGCTCTGGCGACGCTCCAGTTGGCGCAACGCTCTCCTTGCCATGAACCTCAGATTGGCGTCTCCCTTGCCCAGCTCCTCCAGCTTGTGCACGCACAGGCCCCGGAGCTCCCTCGTTTCGTCCGAGACGCCGTCCAGAAGTCCGCCGGCGATGGCCGTGTTGATGGCTTCGTATGCCAGACTTGCCGCGTTGGTCGTCTTGATGAGCTTGATGATGGGCGCGCGCAGCGAGGCGGGAAGTGAGGCGTCGTGTGGGGCGAGGAGAGCGAGGAGCTTCAGGAGCTTGATGAGCGTCCAGTTGTTGGTGCTGCGCTGCAGCAGTTGCAAGAGACGCGGAGAGAGGGAGATGAACTCGGCGGCGATGGAGGCAGAGGAACGCGAGAGCTCGCACAAGACGTTGATGGTGGCGCCCACAACGCCAGCGTCAGCGTCGTCGAGCGCAGTGCGAAGTGCAGAGGAGGCAGAGGACAAGGCGGTGACGTCGCGGGAGAGTAGAGCGTGCAGAGCCAGCAATGCCTTCTTGCGAGTGAGGGGCAGCGGCGAAGAGAGAAGGGCGAGAAGATCGGGCAGCAGATGCGGCACGAGTTCGGGCGTGGCAAGAGAGGAGAGGCCATTCAAGGCAATGCCTACTTCCAGCGGATCGTGAGAGTGTAGATCCTGCTCGCCGCATTGTAACGCCCTTTCATCAGCGGGCTGCTTTCCCTCGCTTCAATGCGCCTTGAGCGCGGCTGCTGCGCGACAGAACGCACCTTTTGCACGAGGTTTGTGGCGAGGATGAGCACGTCGGTGTCGGGCGTGAAGCACTGCTGTGCGGCCAGATAGCCGACGTGCTTGAGGTGCAGGCGTGGGCTCGACATGGTCTCGAGCATGTGGAAGGAGTGGGCACTGGCGCGTGTGGTGTGGCCCAGCATTTGCAACTGGTTCCTCTCCGCCTCTGATCAGCGTGGGCGCAGAGCCAAGGAGCGGGATCGCGAGAGACTGACGTAGCACACCTTCAACACGGCCTCGCCCTTGATGCCCAAGTCGTCACTGCGCACCTCATGGCGGATCTCATCGAGGATCTGCGCCACATAGCGCCGCTCGCGCTCGACGGCGTGCGAGCGCGGATGGGAGCCTTGCGGCGCGGCATTGGCGCGCAGGCCGGAGATGAGCGAGGAGAGGGAACGCTCAAACATGGCGGAGGGCCGCGCAGGTGCGGCTGCGAGAGAGGGTGAGAGGGAGGAAGAGATCGGTGGAGGGCGGGAAGCAAGCGCGCGACAAGCGAGGCGCGGCTGCTCTTGGCCCCGCCTTAGTTGCAGCCGCGCACACTTACAGCGGCGAGCTCGAGCGCCCAAGGTCGCTTTCCACGCTCGGCAGCGCAGCCGGCGCGGCTCAGCTGCGCTCCGCATGCTCCCCTCTGCCATCTCCTCAGCGCCACCATGCCCTCGCAGCGCCTTCCCACGTCGCACTCCGCGCTGCAAGTGCAGCTGCCCTCTGGCGCTGCTCCCCTCGCTGCCTCGCCCTCTGCTGCGGCTGCCTCCACTTCTTGCTCCTCTGCCGCGGCCGCCGCCGACGGCGCCGCAAGCGACGTGACGCTGCTCTCCTCGCGCATCCTGCGCAACCAGGCGGCCGCTCGGCGCGTCCTATGTGCCCAAGAGACGCTCATCGAAGGCGTGCATTCGCTGCCTCGATTTCGCTCCCTCGTGCGTATGTGTGTGCAGCAGCAGCAGCAGCGCCTCTTTGCTGCGCTCCCCCCCCTCCGCCCTCCCCGGCTGCGCTGACGAGGCTTGAGTTGCGTTTAGGTGGCGCTGCTCAACGACGCATCCTACCTCGCAGTGCTCGAGGAACGGCATCTCCTCTCGCACTGCGCCTATCCACTCTGCTCCCGCGCTCCCTCTCACGCTGCGCGCGCCGACAGCGAGCCGACGTACCGCCTGGCGCCGCGCTCGCGGCAGATTCTGCCCGATGCGCGCCTGCAGGCGGGCGGCGAGTGGACGTACTGTGGACGCAAGTGCTGGGCCAGGAGTATGTGGGTGCGCCGATGGGTGCTGAAGGAGCAAGAGGTGCGAGCAGCAGAGGCGGCAGAACTGCTGGAGGAGTTGGAGATGAGAGGAGAAGTGACGCTGCCGGAGGATGAGGCAAGCGAGGGCTCTCGCAGAAGCAAGGCTGCGTCTACAAAGGCACCAACAGCAGCGCAAGCAACATTACCTGCTGCTGCGTCGAACACGTCTGCTGCTCCTCGTACAACTGCCTCCTCGAGCAGCGCCAACCCTCCGCGGCTGCGGCTGCGGCCCGCAAAGGACAGCGCAGCCGCGACGCTCTTCGCGCCCCACTTTCCTCCTCCCGCTGCTGCCTCTGCCGTCTCGCCTGCCGCCTCCTCTGCTTCTCGCAGGAGCAGCGGCAAGGCAGCGTCGAGGCTGCCACTGCCTCTCCCGCCCGCTGCTCCTCCAAGCTCTTCGTCTTTGGCGTCGGCGTCGAAGACTGGAGAAAGAGGCAAGGCGATCAATGGCGCACTACGCATCATCGAACGGCCCCCTCCCCCTCGCGCCGGCGCAGAACAAGCAGACTCTTCCTCTCTCGCGAGCGAGGACGCATCGGCCGCTCCGCGGCTCGACTCGCACAACGTCGTCAGCAGGACGCGCGGCAGCGAAGCGGTGCCGCAGGAAGAAGAGGAGCTCGAGACAGAAGAGGAGGATGCAGAAGTGGCGCATCTCTTTGCGCAGATGCATCTGGCGAGAGAAGAAGAGAGGAGGGCGGGAAGATGGGAGGAGAGTAGTGTACGTGCACCAGCAAGAGGAGAGGGAGGGGAGCAAGGCGAGGCATCGGATGAGGAGTGAGAAATGCACATGCATCGCTCGGCGTCTCACACAAAGGAGCGGTTGACGACAGACAGAGCACAGACGCAAACACGGTGGTATCGTTTCTTCTCCTGACACACCCCCCCTCCCTCGCCGACCGGTCACTTGCCCTTCTTGCCCTTCTTCTTCTTGCCCTTCTTCTTCGACGGCGCAGCTGTAGCAGGCTGCAGCGTGCGATCGCCCTCCTCTGCCTCGGCGTCGGAAGTGGCGGCAGAGGGCGCGGCCGATGGCGCAGCTGATGCGATGGTGTCGTCGGACGGCGCTGCCTCGTCGATGCTCTGCGCCGCCTCGTCGGCCGCCGCCGAAGAAGAAGCGGGTGATGCTTCCTTCGTCTGGGCCGCTGCGGCTTGAGCCGGCGCAACGTCGTCGTGCGGCGAGGCGGCGGCGGCGGCGTCATGCGTTGACGATGGCGTGGCAGCTGGGGGCGGCGCAAGCGGAGGAGCAGCAGCTTCGACGGCGCCGACGGCGGCGGACTTGGCGGCCTCGACGGGCTCAGAAGACTGTTGTGCGTGCGTCGCTGCAGCCTCTTGTCGCACAGGCTCAACCTGCGCGCTCGCCTCCTCTGGCGCGAGCTGCGCCGAGTCCGCACGTTGCTCCTCAGGAAGAGGGGCAGATGCAGTGACGACGGCGGCAGCCGCCGCCGCCGCCGCCTCGCGCTCCCGAGCCTCCTTTCTGGCGCGCAACTTTTCCGCCAGCGACAGTTTGCGCGGCGTTGCTGCGTCCGGCTGAGGCTGAGGCGGCGGCGGCGGCGGCGCAGGCACTGCAGGCGCTGCTGAGGCCGAGGCTGCCTCTGGCGGCGCTGCGTCAGGTGCGGCAACGCCGTGTGCGGCCTGGGCGGGCGCAGAGCGGGAAGCGCTCTCTGCCGCGGCAGGCTCGAGGACGACGGAGCCCGACGGAGGGGTAGAGGATCCCGCGGGCACTTCGTTCGATGGGCCAGCCTCCACAGGAGCCGCAGTCGTAGCGGCCGCGCGCGCGTCGTCTCGCTCCTCTTCTTGCGCGGCAGCAACGGCGACGGCAGCGGCGTCGGCTGCCTCGGCCTCCTGAGCAGCTCGAGCCCTTGCAACTTCATCAGCCCGTGCAGCTTCAGCTTCGGCCTCAGCAGCTTCGTCCGCCTCACGCTGCTGCTTGTCGAGCGCAACACGCTCGGCCTCGAGGCGCTCAGCCTCGATGCGTGCTGCTTCTTGTTGCTGCTTCTCGAGGCGCTGCGCCTCGAGCTTCGCGCTGCGCTCCTTCTCCATGCGCTCCTCCTCTTGCCGCTCCTGCTCTTGTCGTTGCGCCTCGAGCCGGGCAGTCGCTTGTCGTTGCGCCTCAAGCCGGTCAGCCTCAACTCGGGCGACGCGCTCCATCTCGATGCGCTCCGTCTCTCGGCGCTCTTGCTCGAGGCGCTCCGCCTCAAGTCGTGCCTCTGCTTCTTGCTGTTCCTTCTCCACGCGCTCCTTGTCCAGGCGTTCTTGCTCAAGCCTCTCCACTCGTTCCCTCTCCATCCGCTCTTCCTCCGCGCGCTCGGTCTCCACGCGTTTGGCCTCCGTGCGCTCGGCTTCCTCGCGTTCCCGCTCCACTCGTTCCTTCTCAAGACGTTCCTTCTCGACTCTTTCCTCTTCTCTTCGCCTCTCTTCCGCCCTCCATCTGCCTCTCATGTCCTCCTCTCGCTCCTCGCATCGTCGCAGTGCCGCTTTGAGCTTCTCTGCCTCCTCAGTCTGAGCCTCGGCTGCGCCAAAGTACGTCGCCAGCGTGCTTCTCGCCCACGCGGCGTCCAGTCGTGCCTGTCGTAGATGCGCCACTTGTTCAGGAAGCGCTTCGTGCGTGATGGATGTGGACGTGCGAGAGAGGTAAGTCTCGAGTTCGGCGAGGAGGGTCTCGTCGAGTGCCGAACGCAGACGAACAGCTGCTGACAGAGGCGCAAAGAGGCGCAGCACGCCGAGTGCTGGTGCCAGACGATAATGCAGCGGAGGTGTGTCGTGAGATGAAGAGGAAGAGGGGAGATGTCGAGCGAAGAGCTGCGCCAGTGCAGACGCAAGGTTAGCAGCGACGGCAGGATCGAGTCGTACGCCATGTTGCTCCAACTGCAAGTCGAGGTGGGAGAGTTGAGAATGCAGCGCTGAGAGTTGAAACGCTGCATCTTCGGCGTTGCTTGCGGAGCGCAAAAGGAGATCGATGCCAGCGATGATCTGTGCGTGGAGCACATCTTGGGCATGCACGAGATACGCGGAGAGCAGCTCGTGCTGCGCTGCGAAGAGGGCAGGATAGAGAGAGAGGAGCGCCAGAATCTGATCGCGCCAGATGGCGAGACGCTCTCGCGTGGCGTCGACGGCCTGCGATGCGAGCGATCGCTTGAGGTGAGCATGTCTCGAGCGCAGGAGATGCAGTGCCACTTCTGCATCCGGCAGTTCGAGCGAGGCGTGATTGGCGGGAAGGGCAATCGCAGCCAGGCGACGCAGTGCTTCAATGCTCGCCTTGAGCGCTGGCGCGCGCAGCGTGGGCGTCTCGACGTGCGTGAGAAGCGTGCCTCGCAGTGCGAAGAGACTGCTTGCGGTGTGAGCATGCAGCGTTTGCAGCACTGCTCCGTCTCCCCACGAGGCGTCACTGGCCAGGGAAGCAAGATGCTCTGCGAGTGCCAGCGCTTCGGAGGTGAGACCTGCCGCGATGCATTCCTGCAGCAATGCAGGGGCATCGAGCAGCGCTGCGAGGCGCCGAGAGCGCTGGCGCTGCAGCTCCAGTGCTCGCTTGCGCGCACCGACGGCGCCCGAGGAGGCGGCGCTGAAGCCTGCGAGCGAGCGCTCGAGCGAGGGAATGGCTTCCTGCAGCAGCGATGCTGCGCGCGAAGAGAGCTGCTCGGAGCGTGTGTCGACGGCGAGAGAGGCGGAATGCACGGAGAGCAGCGAGGGAAGATGGCGATGGAGCAGGCTGGAGAGCTGGGCATCGAGGGAAGAGTGCGTCGAGGAGAGCAGGGCGGGCTGAGAGAGGAGCGTGCTGAGCGGCAGTGTGGTCAAGGAGGCGAGATAGGAGGAGGCCGAGGCGCTGGGAGGGGCGTCGGGCAGGAGGAGATGCAGGAGAGCATCGGCACTGCTGCTGCTGCTGCTGCCGCTGCCACTCGCGGCAGAGGCAGAGGGCGCCGCAAGAGAGGCCATGCGAGCTGCGCGATGAGGTGAGAGTGCCGTGCAGAGAGTGTGATGGATGAGGCCGAGAGAAGAGGATGGCTGGCGTCTGGCGTCGTCGTCGTCGTCGTCGTCGTGGGCGCTGCGCATGGCGCGTCGACCGAGTCCCGACCGGCGCGCGCGCGGCGGCCAGCACAGCGCCGAGGCGTCCGTGCGCGCTGCGTCATCAGCTGCGCCTCGTGCCTCGCCCTTGCTTCCCTCCTCTCCTCCACCTCCCCTTCTTGCCCAGCATGACGCGTCTCTACAAGCTCTCGCGCACCCTCGCAGGACATACCGGCGATGTGCGCGCCCTCTCTGCCGCGCCGGCCTGCGCGGGCGAGGCGCAGGCGCTCCTCTCTTCGTCGCGCGATGCCTGCTCGCTGCTGTGGCGCCTGCCCGCGGCCTCGGCGGCAGAGCTCAAGCAGCCGGAGCGCCTGGCCAGCCATCAAGGCTACGTCAACTCCAATGCCTTCTTGCCCACCGCTGCCGGTCGTGCGTGGCATCTCCGCCCTCCCCCGCCCCAGCCCTCGCTGACCGCAGCAAGCTGATGCGCTCCCTTCCCTTGCTCCAGTCGTGGCGCTGACGGGCGGACAAGACGGCCTGATCAACGGTCACCTCATCGACCACGCTGGCATGCCGAGCTTAAGTGCAGACTACACGCTCGTGGGGCATACGTCAAACGTATGTGCCCTCGACGTCTTTGCCTCTTCCAGCGAGGCAGAGAGCTACGTCGTCTCGGGCAGCTGGGACCAGTGCGTGTGCCTTCGCTTGCCAAGCGCTTCATCGCGCCTGTGCTGACCGCGATGGCGAGCCCAGGAGCGCAAGAGTATGGCGCAACTTTGAGCCTGCATACACCCTCGCTGGCGCATCACAGGCAGTCTGGGCAGTGCTGGCTCTCTCCGATACGCACATCCTCACGGCCAGCGCCGACAAGCTCGTGCGTCTCTACGCGCTGCCCTCTGCTGCTTCCTCGGCGACGACGTCGGGCAAGGACGGCGAGACGCCAGAACTGCAGCCGCTGGCCGTGTTTCCGGGACATCAAGATGCGGTGCGAGCGTTGCTTGACCTCGGCGACGGAAGATTCGCCAGTGCCGGCAACGACAGGTGCGTCTCTCTTTCCCATTCCCCCCACCTCCACCCTGGCATCGCTTACCTCCCTCCGCCTACTCAGCAACATCCACATCTACAGTCTGCCCTCTCCGCTGCCCGAGGCCACCACCAAGCTGGGCGCCTCGGGAGCAGCGCGCGTCTTTCCCACGCAGACGCTCAGTGCTCACACGTCTTTCGTGTATGATCTGGCGCGCACACCAAGCGGCGAGGTGTTGAGTGCAGGAGAGGATCGAAGTGTTCGTGTGTGGCGCGGTGAGTGCTCTCTCTCTCTGTCCTCTTGCGCTCTGGCCGCGCATCGTTGACTGACGCAGGGCATGGGCCGTCTGAACAGGCGAAGATGTAGTGCAGACGATTACGATTCCAGCCATCTCGGTCTGGGCCGTTGCAGCGCTCGCCAATGGCGACTTCGCATGTGCAGCGTCGGATGGCATTGTGCGCGTGTTTAGTCGAGAAGAGGATCGATGGGCGGATAAGGAGACGCTTGCTGTGAGTTGGTCGCAGCCGCCAACGAGTAGGCCGCTTGAGCGTGCGAGCGAGGCCAGAGCGATGGAGGTGGACGCACGCGCGCGCACGGCGGAGCTGATGTTGGCATTACTGGCACACAGGCGTACGATGCAACCGTTGCATCGCAAGCACTCAACAAGACGCAAGTCGGCGACGTCTCCGCGTCGGACATGCCCGACTCCTCGGCACTCTCGACGGCGGGCAAGAAGGAAGGGCAGGTGCTCATGGTGCGCAACGCCGCGGGCGGCGTCGAGGCGCATCAATGGTCCGTCGCCACGCGTAGCTGGAGCAAGATTGGCGACGTCGTCGGCGGCGTCGGCAGCGGCACCAAGAAGCTGCACGAGGGCGCAGAGTACGACTACGTCTTTGACGTCGACATTGCCGACGGCGTGCCGCCGCTCAAGCTGCCGTACAATCTCGCGGAGAACCCATACACGGCGGCCCTGCGCTTCATCAACAAGAACGACCTGCCGCAGAGCTACCTCGAGCAGGTGGTGCATTTCATCGAGAAGAACTCGGAGACGAAGCAGCTCGGCAGCAATGACGAGTACGTGGATCCCTACACGGGCGCCAGTCGCTATCAGGCACAGCAGCCCTCGGCCTCCTCCTCGTCGTCGGCTGCTGGTGCGGCGCCGAGTCATGCTCGAGGAGCGGCAGCGGCGTACACGCAAGGCATCAATCCCGACCCCTTCACCCAGTCGGCACCCGTCGTCGCCGCGCCTGCTGCGTCGACTTCGAAGGCGGCCAGCACAGGCAAGCTGCTGCCTCAGCGCGACTATTTGAGCTTTGCAAGCATCAATGCCGTCGCGGTGCAGACCAAGGTGGAGGCCTTCTCCGCCGAGCTCGAGGCGCAGAGCGTGAGTCTGGCCCCGCCAGCCTCGTCGCTGTCGATTTGGCACACGCGCTTCGCGACCGCTCACACAATTTCTTTCCTCTTTTGCCTTGTCCCCAGCTTGCGCTCCCCGACAACTCGCTCTACGCCCTCTCGCAGCTTCTCACTCTCTCCTCCAACACGACTGCTGCCCTCGAAAGCGCCCTCTGCTCCTGGCCACTCTCGCACCGCTTTCCCCTGCTCGACATTCTGCGCTTCGTCGCGCTGCGTCCGACGACGCTGCGCGCGGCACAGATTGCGCAGCAGGCGTTGGAGAGCGCCGAATGGAGCGAGCCATGGCCTACTGCGCAGGAGGCAAAGGAGGGCAAAAGTAGAGATGTATGCGCCATGCTTGCCCTTCGAGCGATGGCGAATACTTGGAGCAGTGGAGATGTTGGCTTGGTGGAGAGCGCCGAAGAGGTGAGTTGCTCACCCCCCCCC